TTAAGGATTTTATTTATTTGACAGAGAGAGATAGAGAGAGCACAAGCAGGGGGAGTGGCAGGCAGGCAGAGGGAGAGGGAGAAGCAGGCTCCCCGCCGAGCAAGGAGCCTGATGTGGGGTTCAAACCCAGGACCCTGGGATCATGACCTGAGCCGAAGGCAGACGCTTAACTGACTGAGTCACCCAGGTGCCCCTCTAAATGCTTTTAAAACAAACTATTAACCAATGCTTTTTTGTTTACCATCAGCCACCACATTATCCTCATATCCAGGGGTATCCAGTCAGTACCTGAGCTTTTTTGGTTTCCTTGGTGGAAGGGTTGCTTCTAGGTTATTCTCGTAGCAGGTTTAGGGCCTGCTTTTCAGCTTCCTGTATAGGTGCTTGCATGTGTGTCTGTGTGTGTGTGTGTGTGTGTGTGTTATTTTGCTAGTTCTAATTATCTTTGTGGATTGAGGCTTCAAAGAAAATAAAACTTTGCTCTTGTTTTAGTAAGGTGTTGAGAGGTTATGAAGACAAGTGCAATCCAACCTTTAAAGAACACTTACAAGTATATACCTTTTTAAAAAAGTTTTATTGAGGTATAATTGTTTATACCACAAATAAATACATAGGGATATAGTCTTTAAGTCTCACAATACTGAAAAACTGTTCTCTTGCCTTATATCTGCACAGCTTCTAGCTCCTCTAATGGGATTTCCTGTTTTTCATAGCATCCTCCTCTTGATTTTTAGATGTAAAGGATTCTTGAACATCTCTAACTGAAGTTTCTTTCTCAAACATTTTATTTCTCTCCATTTGTTTCTTCCAGAGTCATTTTTTTCTTTCTTTTTTTTTTTTTTGAATTATTTTTTGTGTGTGTTTTCTGTTTTTGAGGTCTTCCTCAAATCTCGAATCTTTGGTTGTCCATTCGTATCTGAATAAGACATTAAAAAGCTTATTGGTAGTTCTCTTTGCTTCGATAGGACTTAGTGACTGACTTTACATTATGGTGATTGCATGTGTGGAGCTTTTGGGGTCTTTAAATGCTAACTCTTGTAGAGGTGTGTTCTCCATGGCTGTTCAGTTGTTTAAGGGAGGAAACCATTTTTCTGCCTAGGGACTAGATGCATAGCAGCTAATGTCCTATCCTTGAGTTTGAGAAGAGTGGCCTGGAGTGTGGCCACTGCACATCAGACTTCTACCTGGAGTTTTTCTTCTTAGCCCTCTCATGTGCTTGCTTTTGCAGGCTTTGACTTTGTGTGGGGTTCCCAGGTTTTGTATTCCTTTTCTCTATAAAGTCAGTCTGTTTTCTCCATTTCAGAAATGTGTTGCTTTTTATTATTTTCTGATGTTAGCTTTCCCTTTCTCTTTGTCTTTATGGCTTTTTATGTTTTTAATTATTTTACTGTCTTTTTAATGTAGTCTGAGGAGGAATAGGATATAAATGTGTGGTCAGGCTACCATCTTCTATGGTTATTTATTTTTATTTTATTTTATTT